ACTTCATCAGTAATGCCAGGCGCTTCGACCCCTACAGCAACACTTATAACGAGGGGTGGCGCCAGCATCCTAACTTTTCCTAGGCTGGGGCAAATCCCAAACCACCAGCTCCCCAGGGACCACCTGGCTTCCAGAGGCCTCCGTACCAGCCCAGACAGGGGCAATTTCAGCAGCCACAGCAGCCACTCTACCAGCCCAGACAGGGGCCAGTTCCACCACAGTCACAGGTGCGACCATTTCAGCAGACAGGAGCAGCACCTGCAGCTCCAGTATAGAGTGACCCGATGGCGGAATTGAGAGATTTGGTGGGTTCTCTTGCCACCTCCAGTGCGAACAAGTTCAATAACATCGAGCAATTCATGGAGAAAGCTTCAGGCAAGTTCTTGGAGCTAGAAGCTGGTCAGAGAAATACACAGGATGTGCTGCGGGATATACAGACCCAGCTTGGGAGTGTTGCCCAGGCTATAGCTCAGAGGACTCCTGGTACCTTGCCTGGTCAGACCATTCCTCACCCGCAGGATCCGAATGCCAACTGCAGTGCCATCACAACCAGGAGTGGCAAGGTGACTGCCAATTCGCCTGTTCGGGCAGAGGAGAGAGAGACCCCTGCTCCAGCACTTCCAGCTAATCAGGAAGACATGGAGAAGGAGGTTGAGGTGCCTGCTCCTAAACCGCAACCAGTGGTGAAGGAGTATGTACCACAGCTTCCCTTTCCTACTCGGCTGCACAAGGACCGACTGGAGACTGAGTTTGCCAAATTCATGGCAATGCTGAAGCAGGTAAACATTAGCATGCCCTTCGTGGAGGCATTATCGAAGATGCCCAAGTATGCCAAATTCATGAAGGATCTCCTCACCAACAAGAGGAAGCTTGGGGAGCTGTCAACGGTGATGCTCAACGAGGAGTGTTCTGCCATCCTGCAGAACAAACTACCAGAGAAGCGAAAAGATCCAGGGTGTTTCACTATCCCTTGCATGATTGGTAGTTTGCATATAGGGAAGTCCTTGGCGGATTTAGGCGCTAGCATTAATGTCATGCCTTATAAACTGTTTAAAAAGCTAGGCCTAGGTGAACCCAGTGATACTAGGATGAGCATCCAGCTTGCTGATAGATCCATTGTGCATCCTAGGGGTATAGCAGAGGACTTGAGAGTCGCAGTAGGGCCATTTTCATATCCTGTTGATTTCGTGATTTTGGACATAAATGAGGATGTTGATGTGCCATTGATACTGGGTAGGCCTTTTCTCGCCACCGCCAAGGCACTTATTGATGTTAATGATGGAAAACTGATTTTGAGAGCTGGGGGTGAACAAATCACCTTCTCTGTTTCTGATAATATGAAACACCCCCAGCTCCATGATGATCTAGATTACTGTGATGTTGTTGCTGATTTTGAGACCGCACTCGCCATCACGAGTGCGGGTACTAATGATTTCCTTGAGCGTTGTCTTTTGCTAGGGGAACAGGCATCACAGGACATGCAGTTGGAGGAGCAGCTCGCGGAGCTAGATGAGGCCATGATCGAGGGGCGAGAGATACCATTCAAGCCGATCCCTATCTCGCCCCGGATCGCTACATCATTGGAGGAGCCACCAGAGCTGGAGCTTAAGCCCCTCCCCTCTCACCTGGAGTATGCGTTTCTCCGGGAGGGGAATAAGCTCCCGGTCATCATTAGCTCGGATCTGACACCCGAGCAAAAGAGCAGGCTGGTGGCTTTGCTGCAGAAGTATGCCCGGGCCATGGCATGGAAGATCACAGACATTAGAGGCATTAGCCCATCCTTCTGCTCCCACAGAATTCTGATGGAGGATGAGGTTAAGCCAGTCAGGCAGCCGCAGAGGAGATTGTCTCCTAACTTGGAGGCAGTGGTCCGGGCAGAGATTGTGAAGCTCATGGATGCAGGGATCATTTTTGCTATATCTGATAGCAAGTGGGTCAGCCCCACTCAGGTGGTCCCGAAGAAAGGCGGGATGACTGTGGTCCCGAATGAGAAGCAGGAGTTGATCCCGATGCGGACCGTGACCGGCTGGAGAGTCTGCATCGATTACCGGCGCCTGAATGACGCCACCAGGAAATATCATTTTCCCCTACCTTTCATTGATCAGATGCTGGAGAGGTTGGCTGGCCATGAGTTCTATTGCTTCCTGGATGGCATGTCTGGTTACTTCTAGATTCCTATTGCTCCGGAGGATCAGGCGAAGACCACATTCACTTGCCCCTTTGGTACTTTTGCTTACAGGAGGATTCCATTTGGGCTGTGTAATGCAACGGCGACCTTCCAGAGATGCATGCTGGCGATCTTCGACCGGCTGGTTGGAGAGATCATGGAAGTCTTCATGGATGACTTCTCGGTTTATGGAGACTCCTTCTCTCATTGTCTCCATAACCTGGAACTCGTTCTGAAGAGGTGTGAAGAGACGAATCTGGCACTCTGCTGGGAGAAGTGCCATTTTATGGTCCGTGAGGGGATTGTGCTCGGGCACAAGATCTCCAAGCAGGGGATTGAGGTGGATCGCGCGAAGATTGAGACGATCAGTAAGCTACCTCCTCCCGTTTCTGTGAAGGGGATTCGCAGCTTTCTAGGTCATGCGGGCTTCTACCGGCGCTTCATCAAAGATTTCTCGAAGATTGCCCTGCCGTTGACCAAGCTGCTAGAGAAGGATGCACCATTCCAGTTCACTCCCGAGTGCACAGCTGCATTTGAGACTTTGAAGGAGAATCTGACCCATGCCCCTATCATGGTAACTCCTGAATGGTCTCTCCCTTTTGAGCTGATGTGCGATGCGAGTGACTATGCAGTCGGAGCAGTTCTGGGTCAGAGACGCGAGAATCACTTCCAGCCCATCTACTACGCGTCGAAGACCTTGAACGATGCACAGGAGAACTACACCACCACTGAGAAGGAGCTCCTCGCTGTGGTGTATGCATTTGACAAGTTCCGGCCATACCTGGTGCTCTCACATGTGGTGGTCTACACAGATCACTCGGCGATTCGCTACTTGATGAGCAAGGCTGATGCAAAGCCTCGGCTCATCCGCTGGATCCTGCTTCTGCAGGAATTCGACATCGAGATCCGGGACAAGAAAGGAGTCGAGAATGTTGCTGCAGATCATCTTTCCCGGTTGGAAGCCCCTCCGGTGGACAACTTCGTGGAAGAGATCGACGACTCTTTCCCGGGTGAGCGATTGCTGGCGATGACACTGGTGGACAGCGTGACCCCTTGGTATTCTGACTTTGCCAATTATCTGGTGGGCAAGCAGTTACCCAAGGGGATGGCTACTCATGCAAAGCGCAAGTTCTTCTCCGAACGGAAGCACTACTTCTGGGAGGATCCTTACCTCTTCAGAATCGGAGCAGACGGCGTGATCCGGCGCTGTGTCATGGAGCGCGAGATGGGAGACATCCTGTCTTAATGCCACGAGGGACCTACTGGAGGTCATCATGGTGGTAACCGCACGGCGCGGAAGGTGCTACAGTCGGGCTTCTATTGGCCCTCGCTCTTCAAGGATGCAGACTCCTTCGCACGCCAGTGCGACCGCTGCCAGAGGTCAGGTAACATTTCTTCCCGGGATGAGATGCCCCAACATATCTCTGTTATCAGTGAAATTTTTGATGTTTGGGGTATCGATTTCATGGGCCCATTCCCTCCATCTTTTGGCAATCTGTACATTTTGGTTGCAGTAGACTACGTCTCGAGGTGGGCAGAAGCTCAGGCCATGCCCACCAATGATGCAAGACGGGTCTGCTCATTTCTGAAGCAGCTGTTCTCCCGGTTCGGGACACCCCGCGCCATCATTAGTGATAGAGGAACCCATTTTCAAGGGCAATTTACTAAACTCCTCTCTCGCTATGGTGTTACGCATCAGGTGTCGGTGGCCTACCATCCCCAGTCAAATGGGCAGGCCGAGCTGACGAACCGGGAGCTAAAACGAATTATTGAAAAGACGGTGGATCAGTCTCGCAAGGATTGGTCCACCAAGCTCGATGATGCTCTTTGGGCGTATAGGAATGCCTATAAAAATCCGATTGGCACTTCTCCCTATAGGCTTGTCTATGGGAAGGCGTGCCATTTGCCGGTAGAGCTAGAGCACAAGGCCTTCTGGGCCATTAAGCTGCTAAACATGGATTTGGGTGTTGCAGGTACAGAACGTAAGTTGCAGCTGCTGGAGTTGGAGGAGTGGCGTTACCACGCCTACGAGAACACCGTGCTCTACAAGGAGCGCACCAAGCGTCTCCACGACGCTCGGTTGAGGGGCCCGAAAGAGTTTCAGGTAGGTGATCGTGTTCTGCTCTTCAATGCACGCCTGAAAATCTTTCCGGGCAAGCTCCGTTCGAGGTGGTCGGGACCCTTCACGGTCACCCAAGTTTTCCCGCACGGTGCGGTGGAGATCAGCAATGCTCAAACCGAGCCATTCAAGGTGAATGGCCACCTCCTCAAGTTGTATTTGGGAGGTGCTGTCGAGCGCGCAGAGCTGCTGATCAAGCTTGAGGACCCTTAGTTCCTCTACTGGCATCCAGCTAAAAGACGGTAAAGAAGCGCTTGTGGGGAGGCAACCCCACCTCGGTTTGCATTTCTATCCTTTTTTCCTTTTAATTTTTGTCGTTTTCGAGTCATTGAGTCTGTTTGGAGTCTTTCTGGAATGTTTCTCGTGCCCCGGATGGTCTATTTTGGTCTATGTTGGTGTATTTTTGAACCGGGGCACGATTTGGTTTGGTTGTTCGAAATTGCAGCTCAAAAACTGGAGAAAAAGGGCCCTCGGCGATAAAATTACGGGCATGGGTGGCCAAATTACGGTCGTAATTAACCTGCCCCCTGCCCGTAATTAAGCCAGAACAGAAAAACAGCCTCGGCAGTAAAATTACGGGCAAGGGGAGGGAGAATTACGGCCGTAATTCTTATTACCCCTGCCCGTAATTCGATCAGAGGGGAGATTGCTCTCGGCCATAAAATTACGGGCAAGGCCAGGGGTAATTACGGTCGTAATCCTGCCCGTAATTACCTCCGAGACCAGTTTAAAAAGTGCTTGGCCGCGTTTCCCCCCTCTCTCTCCCCCATTTTTTTTTTTCAGACCAATTTCTCTCTCCTCTCACCGGAAACTCGAACCACTCTCTTCTCCGGTGGTTTTCCGGCCATATCTCACTCACCGGAGGTCCAAATTAAATTCCGAGACCACCCCCGTGCTCCTCTCGTCGGCGCCCACCAGTCTATACCAGTGGGGTTGAGTTTCGTGGTGGTTTGGGTCGCTGGAAAACCGCGACCCTTCGGTGTTCCTCCGGCCCGATCTCTCTCCTCCGACCTCCGATCGAGAAGCCACGACCACCACCGTGTTCCTGGTACCCGGGGCCTCATTCCCCAAAGTTTTGGGTCAGTTTGGCTCTGGTGAAGTCGTCGGCGACGACAATTCGGCGAGCCTTCCGGCGAGCTCCCCGGCGATTTTCGTGTTCTCTCGCTTTTCCCTCACCTTCCCCACGATATCTTCTTGTGCCTCCAGGTGTGCTTCTCTATTTTTACTTGTCATTTATGGAGGATTGATATTGTGGGTTTAGTGAGGAAGTTCGGGGATTGGTTTGTGCTTTGATTAATTCGGTAGGCCTCCTCTATTGCTTGTTGTGTTTGTTCATTCTTTGGTTGGCCTACCGAGTATATATGAGTTGTGGTTGCCCCGCTTGGAGCCTAATTTGCTGTCCGGATGTATGATCCGAGGGCTCCAAGTGCGTTTGAGTTTGTGTGAATGGTGAATGGTTCTGATTGATTGTGAATGTTTTTCCCTTCCTGGGGCCTAGTCCACTGTCCGAACTTATGATTCGAGGGCCCCGGGTGAGGATGATTGTGACCTCACCATTGACGAATTTCCATGTATGTTGTTGGGTTTCTGCTGTTTTGTGGCTGCAGGAAGATGAAGACTTACTTGGCCATGCTCGACGCCGACCAGAGGAAGACTCTGAAGGACATCCGACGCCGCAAATTCGTTAAGCACCATTACCTCGATTGGAGGGTTTTCGAGGAGCTGGGTGCTTGCGAGGCAATGGAGGCTGCCATCCGCGCTTACTCTTGGTGCCGCCTCCTCTGCCTCGCTGAGCCGATCTATCAGGAGCTCCTCTGGGAGTTCTACTCTACCTTCGAGCATTTCCGGACCCACGCGGGCTCACACGGCAACGCCATCCAGTTCCGACTCGGAGGGGAGTTTTACTCCCTGAGCTATGATGACTTTGGTCGGGCACAGGGGCTCCTTCCACCTTTCGCCTGTCACCTGGAGATCGAAGAGCCCGACAGTCCCATCTTTCGGGACCAGCAGTTCTTCGAGAGGATCTGCCTCCCGGAGTTCTCAGGCGCTGTTTTCACACCGGGCTACACCACGGCCACTCAGATGCGCCTAGAGTGGCGCATCATCAACCAGCTGTTGGGGAAGTCTTACGCCCCCAGCGAGGGCTCCACCAGTCATCTTCAGCTCCGCACCTTGCATTGCCTGCACTCCATGAGCCACGAGGTGGACAACCTCCATCTGTCCTCCCTCATCGCCAGGACTGTCGTCAAGGCTTCTCGGTGTGGTCGACCCCTGGCGTGTGGGCCGGTGGTCACTGCCCTGGCACGGTACTACAACATCGACCTCTCCAGGTTCACTCTCATACAGGAGGCGAAGCCCTTCTCCAGGGACACCCTACGGCGCCAGCTGATACTACAGCGCGAGGGGGACGTGACCTGGATCCGGGGCCTTCCTCGCCCTGTTCCTCGTGCACCAGAGGGTGAGGAACTCCCCGAGGCGAGTGCTGCTGCGGCCAGTCGGGCCAATCGTCGGCGGCGGAACACTCCTTCTGCGCCTGGCGCCTCCACCTCTGCTGCCGGCCCATCTGCTGCCGCACCCACCACTTACATTGCCGAGCAGCTGGCAGCCCTTTCCCGCCAGAATGAGCAGATCCTTCTTGGCCAGGAGCACCTCAACGCCCGCCTCGACCGTGAGCGCGAAGGTCGCCGCCGCATCATCTCAGCTCAGCATTACATGATGAGCTACTGGGACATGGATCCTGATGCTGTTAGCTACCCTTGGGAGGCGTCCCCGGGGCATGAGGACCACTACCCGCCCCCGACCGGCGATGGAGGGGATGAGTACTGATCTGGTTTTGCCAGCCCATCGAGTTGGGGCTTGGCTTTTGTCTATCTTTCCAGACTTAGACTCCGTATTGTGTTTGGTTTTTATTTCTTGTTCCGTATTGTGTGGATTGTTGACTTGGAACTATGTTTTATTTCACCCAATGTGTGTGTTCTGTTGGTTCTAGCTCTGTGCCCGTCGGACTGGTCCTTGTCCAGTCCTCTGCTTTTGACTGGTCCGCCATCCAGTCAACGTTCCTGACCACTGTTTCACGGTAACATCGTTCCCTTTCCCTCGGCTACATTGAGGACACTGTCGCATTTAAGTGTGGGGGGGTTCTTTGTATTTATTGGAACGTATATATGGGTGCTTGGAGCCTAGTCCGCTGTCCGAATCTTACGATTTGAGGGCTCCAAGTACTGCTGTTTGATCATATTGGCACTGTGTTTTGATTGATGAATTGAACGGTTTTCGGATTAATGCATGACAACTTGTTGGTGACTAGGACAACCTATGATGAGGGCTGAGATGTGCAGTAGAACGATGTAGGGGTTCAGTTTTTCAACTGTTTGCTTACCAACTGTGACTTGATCTGATCACTTGTCTTGACAGTCGTTTATGCATCTAGTTCAGGGTATCAGAATGTGAGATAGAGCATATAGGTAGCCATGTGAGATTTGAGCCTGCTCGTCTCTTTCTTGTGCGATAGATCCCTCTTCCATGATGTGTATCATTCACGTTGTCATTAGCTAAGATGATGGGGGCATAGGATTAGCCCACGCCCAAAACTGACTGTCCTGATGTGTCATATCCCCTAGTCAGCCCCTTTGAGCCGTGTGTTATCCTTTCTTTTGGTCTATAACGAAAAAATCACCCTTGTTGCATCTTTTAGAAGGTTCCACAGAGTGGTTGTTACATATTCTCTGCTGTTTCTGCTAAAGTTTATGTGAGTGTTGGAGGCAGTGCTTGAAAGTTGGGCAGATGTTTGAAATATGTGCAGAAGTGGTGGCTCTCTTAAGAAATGAAAAGATAAATGAAAGAATAACAAAGAAAAATTGAAAGCAAAAGAGAGCCACTACCAAAAATCTGAATAACGCCCATTAAGTAGTGTTTCTTAGCAGTCTGGCTTGGAAATGCTGATGTTTATGCCTCCTTCGCTCTTGTGCTCTTGAGATGTTGAGTATTGCAGAATAGCAGAAAGGGAATACCGGTTTGTTTGACTGTGATTGTGTGGGTTTGGAAATGTGGAACCTTGTGCTATGAATACTTCCACCACCTAAAAGGCCTTTTCCCCATGTCCAAGACCCTAGCCAGTCATTTGAACCTGTGTCTAAGACCTCCTGATTAGTTAGTGGTGACACCCCATATGTGAACTCTAGCATTTAGAGGCTGCCATCATGGTGAAGAGATGTTAGGGATTAAGAGAAATAACATGCGTATTTTTCGCATCAAATTGTCCTGACCCCACTGGTCGAGAGTGAGTGATTCATTTTCATATGCTATATACTCTTGTACCCCGGTGAGGACCTAGATTGCTCGGTCTCTATTCTGATGTTTTGAGTTGGATGCATGAGTTGACTGTTTTGAGTAAGTGGTTGAGTCAAGTCTAGGTTGGTTGGTGAACAGAAGGGAGACTCTTCCTTTACTCGATTTTGCTGCACTCGAATGTCTTTTGTGGTGGTTGTCCAGGTTGCTAGTGAAGTTGGTCAAGTATTGATGTTTGAAAACCAGTACGATTCACGTGTTCTGTGCCTTTATGACTTGTCCCCAATGTTTGTTGATTGAAATATGTGAGCTTACCTTGTGTCTGACTTGGTTTGCTTGGGGACAAGCAAACGGTTAAGTGTGGGGGAATTTGATAGCATCGTATTTGCACGTGTTTTCACTCGGGTTTCCTGTCCATTTTGGCTCGAATAGATTGTTCCTTGGCCTATTTTACGCTAGGTTGTGTTGTTTTGTCGTATTTCAGGTCCTATCAAGTAAAGAGGTGCATAGGCGCAAGTTTCAGGTCATTTGGAGGTCAGATGGCGAATCACAGAAGGAATTACGGGCAGCCCCTGCCAAATTACGACCGTAATTGGTCAGGGCATGCCCGTAAAACAATTGCCGAGCCTTTTCCCCAGAATTTCCTCTCGGTGCTAAAATTACGGGCAAGACCCCCAAGAATTACGACCGTAATTCCCAAATTACTGGCGGTAATTGGGAAATTACGGGGGTATCTCCTCCTCCTTCAGCTTAATTGAAACGTGCGTTTTGGGGCGAATTACGGGCAGGACGTGATTACGGCCGTTATTTAGCCCGTAATTCGCCCAGAGTCGGGTTTTTGAAGCCAGAATCGAGCCAAGGAAAGGGGAATCGAATTTCTTGAGCAAAAACAGAGCCCTAGAGAGAGAAAGGACGAAGAACTCACCCTAGAAGCCATCTTGGAGCTGGGTTTCATCAAATCAAGCTTGGAGATCGTCCTAGGAGTGGAAATCATCATCCCGGAGCAGATTTTCCTCATATTTATGAGTATGACTACTCCTATTACTGTTTTCCTCTCTCTCTCTATGGAGTAGAACCGCTCTCTCACTTGGGGATGAAGAACTCTAGTTCTATGTGTTAGGGATTGATTGTAATGACTTGGGATGAGATTACTGTTTGATTTTAATGGAATGATGCATGTTTATTGAGTCAATTGAAGTCTGATCAACTTTTCCTGATTCCTGCTGCAATCTGAGATAGATAGAATCTGATTAGGTTGCTAGAGTCTCATCATTCGATAGTAGGAGATTGGCTATACGAGAGTTAGCCAGTTTACTGCTTTGTACTGGAATCCAATTCCAGTAGTGGAGTTCTGTTCTTACTGCTTCAGCTTTCTATCCCGGTGAAGACTAGTCGTCTGCCGGGTAGTTAGACTGAGAGGGCTTGGTCAGCTTAAGAGATTCCAAGCTACTGCCGGATCTTCCGCAGTCTAATCAACAGTAAATCAACCCAGGGAAATACAATTGAAACCTAACTAAGGAGCTAGGGGGACTCATTCCCGAGTGACTCTTTCCTGCTTAAGAAAACCGAATAATTTCCTGCTTTATTTCTGCTTTTGCTTTTAAACAAGAATCACTTACTTTAGTTGGCTAGATAACAGAGAATCACTGAGTAAGCAGTAGATCTAGACCCCGGGTTGATAATATAACTTGCCTGTTACTGCATTCCCGGTCTGCGATTACACTTGGTCGCAGATTGGTGTTGTGTTTTGGCGTGTCAGCTACCCTCTTCGACTCTATGTTGAGGAATGGGATACGATCCAAGCCACTAATGTGACCCTCTCAACCTATCGACTTAGGAATGGTTAGACTTCACCCTCTAATTGGAGTTCGGACGGCCACCCACAACCAAACCCTAAGCGCTAATGCGAAATAGGAGGTTTGCCCGTTAACTAATCTAGAATAGGAGGCATAAAATTCCCAAGGAAACCCATCTCTACCATACCTAATAGAGCCTATTAGGTTAAGGAGGGTTCTCTCTAAACTAGCTTAGGAGGCATTGAATGCCCAAAGAAACCCAGCTCAAATTGAGCCGCTTTGGATGAAGGATATTTCCTCTCTAAACTAGCCTAGGAGGCATGAAATGCCGAAGAACACCCATATCCAATGGAGCCTCTTAACCTAAGGAGGTCTCCTCTCTAAGCTAGGTTAGAATGACAATTAGATTGATAGGCTTTCACACAACACAATCATTCATGAATAATACCTCAACATTCACATTAAAACACAACCACACACACAAATCATTCAATTCATACAAGCATTCACATAATTGTAGCTAGGGTTTACAACACCAAAGTGAATAGGTAGGCTAATCCATAGCTTCACAAGGGAAAACAACAAAAAGGAGAGAAAGAACCATGGAGAGGTGGAAATCTTCCTCCCTTGTTGCTTGAATCTCACTTGAGAAGAAGAAATCTTTAATCCCCTAGCTTGAATTGAGCCCAATCTCCCTCTTCCTCCTTGAGTGTCACTTTCTCTCTCTACAATGGGAAGAGGAAACCCTAATCTCTCACTAGAAACTCTCTTTATTCTGAAAACTAAAACCCTACCTAAAGCTATCCCTTATTCTTCCTTTCAGCTCTCCATTTATACTGAGATCGCGCCTAGTTCACGGGCTTCCAGTTCACGGCAGTGAACACCTAAACGTATCTGTGAACTCAGTGTTGTGGGCCAAAACGCACCTCTTCACTCCCGGAGTTCACAGATGTGCTTACAGTTCGCTTACAGTTCACGGTCTTAGCGACCGTGAACTGCCTTGTTTTCGGTAACCTTCGGAACCCCTCTGAATGCTTATTTGTTCACGTTTTTGGTTCAGTTCACGGTCCTGGCGACCGTGAACTCGCAACTCTGACCGTAAACTACGACTGGTTCCTAGACGCCTCCGCTTCACTGTCACGGGACAATTGTCACGCCTTTGGACTTCTATTCGATTTTTGCGCTTTTTGACCTCCAATCATCTCGAAACTTGTCCTCGACCCTTCCACACATGCCAGGATCTGAAATGTATCAAAACAAGCACAACCTAACATGAAATATGTCGAGGAACGATGAAATGCAAAGTCAAACTATCAAGAAATGAGGGGCAAAATGTGTACAATTGGACCTGAATCACTAGGTTGTGCTTCTTTTGTCACATTTCAGGTCCTAGTACATGTGGGAAGGTCCGGGACAAGTTTCGGGTCATTTGAAGGTCAAAACGAGCCAAAAAATGGACGTTGAGCACTGTTCACGGGCTGTAGGCAATGTCACGCCCTTAGACCGTGAAAATCACCCCCAGGGAGTGAAGAGCAAGACTTCAAGGGCAGGACTCATTTATCACGGTCCTAAAACCGTGATAATAACCCCCCAGACTGTGAAGTGGCCAATTTCCAGAGCGGTTTGCCGTCTCACTGGAGTCCAACCAATTCACGGTCGCTAAGACCGTGAACTCAAGCCCCAAACCGTGTAGAGGTGGGCAACGGGAAATGAGTATTTGGATATACTCATACCCATCCCGTTTTTTGAGGGTTACGGGTATCCAAATACCCGTAATTGTTTTTACGGAATGGAATTTGAGATCAAGAAAACCTATAATGAGTACCTGTACTATCCGCCATCGTCCAAATCTTAACCGATATCTCTGCTGCATTGCATGCCTACATATATATTTGGCATTGCAGGGCTACATCAAATGAGATTCTAGTTATTAATTTCCATTTGTCAGGCCAGTAACCACCTTTGTTACACAAAAATAACCAGAAAGCTCTTAGTTAAGTTACCTAGAATTTCACGTAGCAGTAGCAGCAGCCGCTAATGAAATACTAATATTTATATGCATGCAGCAGGAATTCTCCTTCATCGTATAAGTCAGCAATCCATTCATAATTATAATCATCTTTCCACCAGAACGCCATATTGCTCTTCAGAATTTTGACTAATTGGATAATCCGCCACAATATACATAGCTTTTGGAATTTCTGATCAGCGTATCTCTCTTCACGATTACCAGTTGTACTGAGCTAGTGCGCAGTGGGGATATTTTTTCAGTATGTGACGATGATGTGCAAGCGGGTGAGTGAGAGTGACGTTATTTTGAGGTGGAGCAATTATGCTTTTGTCATTTTAGGTATTATACGGGTTACCTGCGGGTACTGTCACATGTGGCAGATGATATGGCGCCAACAAGGTGACAACATGGCGGCTGCACATGTGGCGGCGTGTATGGAAGACTAGTAGCATAAAGATGCTCCTAGGATTCTCCACCTAAATGAGGGCTTAATGGTGCACTTATGAGTCACATAATGGGTGACATTTATAAAGTGCATAATTGGATTTGGGGGGGGTGGGGGGGGGGACTTAATTGGTGTATTGATGTAGGGGGACATTATGAGGGGCATTGATGCCTTCTATGAGGAGAGGCCTATATAAAGAGCTATCTCCCTCACTTGTAACTCATTCCATCATTTTCTAGAGTAATACACACTAGAGAGTTCTCTCATCTTCTTTGTCTTGTTCTTGCTTCTTTGCTTGCTTGTGAGTTTGAGAGAAGGCTACTTAGTTCTCTAACGGAATTGAGAGCTAAGGCCGCACGACCAAGAGTAAGGCCGTGACAGTACCCGTTATCCGTCTCGTACGGGTAATGGGTAACCGTTAACCCGTACGGTTTTTGGGACATGGGATGAAATTTTCTCTCCAAATGGGACTGGGTACTCGTTTCAAACGGGACGGGACCCAATCTCGTCCCGTTTCCCACCCCTAAGACCGGAAAGTGGCCCAAAATGCTGCGTTTTTTGTCTGAGATCAAGGTCAAGCCTTCGAGTTCACGGCCGTGAACAGTAACCGTGATGTTGGCACTTTCGGGTTGTATAAAAGACAGTTGCGGGGAGAGAGAAAGGGGACCTAGTCTTTTGAGAGGAATTAGTTTCTTTCTCTAGGGTTTCGACCCAAAACACCAAAGGGGAGTTCTAGAGAGAGGGAGTGAGTTCTTGAGTGATCTTGGAATTTAATTGAAGGCATTGATCAAGCTTGGAAGCAAAGAATCAAGCCAAGAAGAAGAAGAAGAAGATCTTGTGCTTTGTCTGTAATCTCTTTCTTCTCTCTCTAGAAACTCACCCTCTTCTCTTGGTTTTAAGAACACTAGGTCTAGATTTTGTTTCATTGTTGATGTATGTGACAAATTCCATGTTTGATTGATGATTTTATTCAATTGATGGATGTTTTCATGAATTGCATGAGTTTGGTTTCCATTTTCATGTATGAGCTTTTGACCTAGGAGGGAGAAAAATCCCCTTAGAGCCCATTATTGGCGTCTTTGGGTCACTCCTCATCGTATATCGTCAAGGTGATCCTGAAGGGAGTCGATTCCATCAATCTCCTACGATATAGGGTTGCCCTAAGTTGAATAGAGCACACCTCATTTATCAATTCGCCATTCCGGGTCATTCCCGAGGGAGTCCATCTCCTAACGGTAAGAGTATTGAGTTGATCGAGCGACAAGGATACCCAACATCGATCCAAAAGAGCTCCAAACCTTGTAAATAGCTAGATCAATGGTTAGTTTAGGTTGATTGGTTTAGTTTTATTAATCACTATCCTAGGTTGGATAAATAACGAACCTAAAAACAAAGTAGAGTAAGCCTAAATCCCCATTGTACGATGATTTATTACTACTTGCTTGCCCTATGCTACACCCGATCAGAATATTGTAGTTGGAACTGAGTTAACCCACATCTTTCCATAACCTCCTCGTTTTCCCGCCGCTGCCTGCAAATTATACATTCATTACCCCTACCCAAGTATAAGTAAAAGTGGAGTTGAGCGCTCTTCTATTGGTAAAGATCCTATGTATATGCATGCAACATACAGAGGGCAAGACAAGCAACAAAAGGCAGCACCCGTCGGTTCTTTCCATCCTCTTTTTACATCATCTTTTCCCCCCTTCGTTACAAGTGAGATCAGAGCAAAAGAAAATGCTCCCTCCATTCACATTCTTCTCTTAATCAGCATCTCTTCAGTTAACTAACCCCAGCACCAAATTTTAACATATTGCAACACCAATCCAACTTGCTCTTTCACTTCCCAGCGGGCTTGCTGGACAGCCGCCTCTTGTAGCGTTTCAGCACGGAAGCCAGGTTCTCTTTACCCTTTGGGAAAGCTACATCCCCAGCAGCTGTCCCTGATCGACCTTTCCTGCATGAAATGGCAATCTCCACGTCTTTGATCAAGTCCAGCACCATCGCTGCCGTTGTGCATTTCCCACCTCTACCTTGTTTTGCCGGAGGAGGCAGCATCCCATTTGACGCTGCTGGTTGAGCCGACGAAATTCTCTGCTGGTGTGCTGCTGAGAGTTGCAGGCAGAAGCATGGCTGCATCTGAGTTCGTTGCCTCATAAATGCAGGCTCCACAACCCCCTGTACAAGAAAGAAAGGTATAAAAACAAACACATTGCTGCCTTTAGTGCCAACCAATAACCAAGAGTGCGTTTGTTTCGAAGAACAACATCAAGTAACTTCGAAGTCACCCCAATAACCAAGAGTGCGTTTGTTTCGAAGAACAACATCAAGTAACTTCGCAGTCACCCCAAATCCCACGACAACTCTCGGGCAACATTGGTTCAACAAAACATTGTCAGACTACACATCGCCGAGAATCACCAGCGGACTCAACGAGTAAAGATACATCAATCCCCTAGCAAAATTGACGTGGATGTTGAACCTATGGTTCCCCTCAAACAGCTTTGAGCGCTTTGAGTTAGTTTGCTGTAGTTGGCAAGGAAAATTAAGAGGAACGAGAAGGCCACAGTGAACCGCCGAGTGGAGGGAGAGTGGAGACAGCGACGATGAGAAGATGACACTACTACTGTGGAGATGGTTGATGATTTGCTCTGGCAAGAGAACAAGGCAAAACGGCATGATATTTTGGGTGGGGGAAAATCTGTTGCTGCATATGGGATTGTTGGGGGATTAGATCTAGGATTAGGGATTGGGAATTTTTGGGTAGGGAAAGAGAGATGAGTAGAGGAGGGTGGTTGGAGGAAATTTTTGAAGGGGGTATTAAGTGTCATTTAATCTTGACCAATACTCGGTTAGATCATGGTTCTTGTAGTTTGGACGAAAAACTTAACGAAAGGTCTTGTGTGAGAACATGACTATGTGGTCGTTTGGATGAGGAATTGTAACAGATCAATTTTACACAATTGTCTCGTTGTGAGACAATTGTACCAAATTGCCTCGTTTGCCAGCAAAAAATTTGGATAGGTCAATCTGCCTGAGGTATTTTGAATTGATCCATTTTGAGTCAATTTCAATTACCTGGGGTGGGGGCAGGTAATTCGAATTGACTCGTTTTAATTGCCTCGTTTATAAAACGAGACAATTGATCAAATTGACTCATTTATAGATTGATCCATCCAAACGACCCCTATAGTAAAAGGGCAAATTTGACATAAAAATAGTATAGGGTTGAGAAAATGCAATAGTAGAGGGTCTGATGCTATTAACCCAAATAAATTTACACTAACCTTATTGGAAAATAATAATCATATAAGAACATGGGTAGTTATATGCTATAAATGTTAGTCAACTATCTAATGTACGTTAATGTAAACGTGCATGCATGAATTGTTATGCTGATAATGTTTGATTAAATACATGGTTGAAGAGCTCCAAACCCACACATCACTACTATTTTGATAAATTTATGATCTTGTTCCTATAAATTTCACAGCCCAAGTTTGAATTTCTATGTACAATGGGTGGAAGTAGTTCAGAGAGAGGGGGGAACTAACCTGAAGGCGATTGAGCACATAGGTGTATTTCCCCCAAAGCTCAGGCCGGCTTTCCATGAGTGATAGATCAAGAACCCGGTGAATGCACCAAACTCCAAAGCTCACGATCAGGTCAACCTTCCAAACGCAGCCTTCTCCACAGTGAGGAACCGAGGAAACCAAGATATTGGCAATGCTATTGGTATCTTCATTCTTCTGCCCAGAACGACCACCTTGCTGATTCTTATCACTACTGCATTGAGACTCAATGCCCAAGTGGTGGACCCCCCCATGCTGCTCCATCTCTCTCGCTTCAGCTTCATATATACACCTCTCCCGTGCTGCCACACGGTCAATCAAGTCCTCGTCGGCGCCATCATTTTGCCTAAACAACCAATCAGAGCCTTCCAATTGCAGCAGCTTTACAATGCAGCATCTGAAGGACCGAAGAAGTTGAGCTTCTGCATCCACTATGGAACTACTAGCTTCCAGATGGGTATTTGAGTTCGGCCTGCTGGTTCCTCCTCCTAATGCACTACTCCCAGCTACTGCACGGCTTTTATCCCCAACACCAAACTGCTCAAATGGCTGTTTTGACCAAAGAGATCCTCCTGTAGCTGGGGAAGTAGAAGGAAAGGAGAAAGCATCTCCATAAAAAGAGGGGTTGTAACTTGTTCTCCCACCTAAGGAGGAGCCAAAATCACCGACAGAAGTCTTGTCCTGCTGGGTATTACCTTTCGCAGCTAGATATAGCTCCCTGTAAGGAGCAACAATTCCTGAAATGTCAGGCAAACTGTGATACTTCTTTGTACTGGTGGCCGTTGGTCCTGCTTTATCAACAACAGAAACGGGAGAACCAACAACATCATAGTATTGTCTTTCAGACTGTAACGAGTTGTTTCTGGATGGGGCAAGGTTCTGATATCCTCTTGTTGCCTGTTGTGGAGAGCTTAATCCATTCTGTAATCTCTGACCTAAGGCAACAGCTGCATGTGGGTCCCTGTAGTTCCGGATGCCGCTCATAGAGGAAATTTGGGACAGTGCTTCCGTCCGACCATTCAAACCATTAGCACTCCTCTCCTTGGCAATACGGTTTGCAATCGAAGCAATCTGATAACCATGTATTGTAGCTGGCTGGTTGTCCCAACCATCAGAAGATGGTGGTAGGGACCGCATGCTAGAATATCGTCTTTCAGAAGGATCCACAACACTCGAGGTGGGTGTTGTTGGTACATATGAATCCAGCAGCTGCGTGCGGTTGGGCCATAATGATGAAGATATTCTTGAAGCCCCACCACGGTATGAAGAAGATTCAAGAGTGCTCTGTTGCATCATCAGCTGCTGCTGCCTGTGAGAATCACAGAAACTTGAATTCATGAAAGAATCTGATGATGCTCTACCACTGGCCATTGCTGATGAATTATACCCAGTACTGTATTCTTTTCCAAGGGGAGGGTCAACTTTCAAGAAGGAAAATGATGAAAGCTTTGAAGAATCAGCAGCAAGTAGCAGATGGATCCTTCTATTCTTGGCATCGTTAGTTGCTTGACCATGGAAATCATACAACTGCCCCCAGAATTCATCAAGAACTGTAGCTAATTGACGCCTAGCAGCCCTTCCTAACCCTGCCAGCCTCGAAAGACTTCCAGCACCATTCCCACCGTCATCGGATTTTCCACTGAGACTTCTGAAAGATGCTGGACCATCAGAGGTCAAAGATGAGAAACTCCCAGAAACACCTATGGATGATGACTCTTCAGGCTCCCCCCAGGCACCCCCCTCATCATCCTCTTTTTCTACCAGGAAATCATCTTCAACACTCACAGTCTTCTCAACAGGTTCAAGTGATTCAAAAACTATCATCTTCGAGTCCGGTAAATAATCAAGATCAGCAGAAACAACTACATTCCCCGCTGCCTTGGATACTGATGTTGGTTCTGTTGAAGGTACTGATCCCTGATTCAGTTTGAGAGGACTAGGAAACTTCATATCCGGCTGATTCTCTTCAATAGGTGTCAAATGAAAGTCCTCATGAGACTCCAGAATAGTTTCAGGAAAATGGGAATCAGGATGTAAGACAGTTCTATCTGAGTAGCCCACTAACGACTTCACTGGGGTTGGTGCAGCGGCTTCCTGCTTATGAAATCGGCCTTCTCCATACCTAATACCATCCAGATACTTTTCATCTCTCATACGGATGGATGGTTCCTGCACAGTCTGCTTTGCATTCCAGTTCAATGCTTGAGCCGCCTCTAACTGGGTTGTTGCAGATTTCAAAGGTGTTGCTGCTAGCCAAAGCATCAAACAGAATGATGAAAAAGCAGTTGCGAGAAGAACAACATAGGGGAGAGAAGAACTGCTACCCATGTTCCATCTCAAGTTGCCAATCCAGTCACTATCCCCGAAAATTATTTCCACCACAAAAATTATCTTCAATCCTAGCATTCCCATGAATGCAACAACTGACAAGAGCTCGAGAAATTGAGAGATCTTGTGTGCCCCCATTATTGCAGTTGATGATGCAATTCGGAATAGTGGAATAACGGAAGCTGGTAGCAGCAAGGCTACTATAACCTGAGAAAATATGAGCAATTGGTATGCCCCCTCAACTCCAGAAGTCCACACACAGTAAAGGGCTGGGACAATGGCAACAATTCTGGTAGTAGCTCGCTGCAACCAGTTAGGTATATCGAGGCTGAGGAAATCGTTCAGAACTACTTGCCCACCGATGTTCCAAGTTAATGCAGAGATTTGATTTGAAAGGTACAAAATCAACACAAAGAACAGAGGTGCCACTGGACTACGAAATACCTACACGGTACATTTCAAGAATATATATGTCATATTGTATATCGACTTTATGCAGAAGTATAGGACTAGTGGATCAATGAAAGTATCGTCATCAGGATTCAGAATAATTATAATACATAACATAAGAGCTCTCTACCTGTTCCATGAGTGACATTGCATCCGGAAAAGTAACCAAAACAAGGCCTGTTTCGTGGAACACGTTCGCAGCTGAGTTCATAAGCACATAGTTCACCAGATAAATGCCACTGAAGATGCATAAGATTGCACAAAAATTATCATAGCATGAGGCACTTTTGGAAACATTTGGCAATCTCTGATGATGCTGCAAGAAGTTGGAAATATAGATTTCAGAATTAATCTACCATGTATAATATTAAAAAAAATCCCGAGTCGGCACGGATGATCACATGACATTTACGATCAAGATTTTATGAGACATTGACCACAACATCAGACATATAGTAGCAAACAACACAGGTACCCTTCTTGGAAAGATGTGCCTCATTCAGCACCACATCATTTTAGTGTTACATCACTCATACACAAAAAGGATAAAAGAAGGACAGAGACGTACCAGAATAATAGAAGAATGCATATAGAAGTTGTGAGGCATAATGCTTGCTCCAAGAAGACTCATCAGAGCAAATGCACTTTCCTCCCTTAACTTCATCGGCATCGCATTCATTGAGAGAGGAACCTCCGATTGACTAATGAGCACCCCGAGACAATAGAAGATCAACACAAAGCCTGCCACACATATGGATGGGAAATATCCCTTATATTTCTCCTACAAGTATAAAGTAGCGAACTTAGTGAGATACATATCCTACAGAAGATGACAGGGTAATATTGTGCAATGACTCACCAGAAAGGCGGCAAAAAACGGAAACAACACAGCATCAACAGCAGTTAAAATGATACAAGTGGGCAAGTCCACCCCAAGAAGAAGATTAAGCCCATGTGCGATGCCAAGTATCTGGAAAAAGATAATATATATATATATCCATTCATCAGAAAAAAGCTCAACAAGTTCAACTCGAAAGATTCAGCATTGTTGTTGTCATGACATATCTTCAGAAGAAGCACCAAGACACGCATTTTAACCAAAAATAAGAAAGGCTACCATGCTGAGGTCCAACACCGCCACTGAAATTGCTGTTTGAACTCCTAGTAACATGCAAGTGAATTTGTCATACTCCTCACTGCAAATCTACAGCATTAGAAAATGAAAAACAGAAGGCTGGACTTCAGTAAGTGATAGTATTAGAAATTATCGAATGGAAGAGAGAGCTAATCATCCAGATAACAAGGAAATATTAATGTTCAGAGGACATGAATATGTAAATATATCAATACCTTATATCCCTTACTACCCGGGTTCAATAAATTTACAGGAAGAAGACACATCAGAAATATCACTTGGAACAAGAACATCAATGACTGAAATTAATAAAAATACAAACTAGGAAGAGACACTACAAATAGAAACTGTACCTGGGCAAGATCTCTAGCAGTAATGATTCCCACTTTAGCTGATAGATACTGGCACAATATTGCAGCTAAATTAAAGATGAGCATTGGCAGGACTAGATCAACTCCAAAACGGGCACCACCTTCCACAGTGGCTGCCCACTTCCCAGGGTCAACATATGCTACTGAAATCAAAAGGACAGGTCCAACAGCAGGAAGTAACCGCCGAAGAACAGCCGGTAGGTGGATAGCATTCCCTGACTGTGTTTCCATTATAACAAAGAGCTCTGCAACTAATGCAGCTCACAGCTGTGGTATCACACTTAGCAAATCAAAGTAAAAGCTCCACCTTGCGATCTAATCATTCAAAAAGCAATCTTCTAGACTTAACCAGGTGAACTCAAATTATACGGGTGCACCCCAAGCGCTACTTCACTGCCTTCAAATACTTGATATACACAAATATACAGGAGGCAATAGCACTTTTGCAGCTGAACTAGGCCAAAAATAACCATGATGAGATTGCCTCATATGAAATTTGCAGCATGGTGTCATCAAGCAACTCTTTTCACTAGCTGTGATCGTCCGACACAAGCCGAAAGGTTTTAATCAGATTAACTTGAATACTGCCACATGTCAAGCAAGATGTCGAATGAAATATTCTGTTCATCTCCTGATCATGACAAAAAGTTTCAATCCAACTTGAGAGAGATTCTGGCACTGACAAGGAGGAAGCTTACAGACCCTTTAACATCTATTCCTCATGCGCTGAGAAGAAATGAAGAAAGGAAGAAAGAAATAAGTAATGGACACATAACGGGCAAAGAAGGCGTTTCCAGAAAATCAAAGCACCAAATATTAAAGGAAGTGAATCATAATATTGCAGACCTCAAAGACAGCCAGTAGCCGATCTGATTAGGGAATCAGCGATGGCAGACAGTAGAATTGAGATTTGAATTCAAACTAGTCACAGCAAATGGACAATGCAAGAGTCACCGGAGCAAAGAAGAACTAGTTGAAAGACCACCATATACAAACACAAGATCACGGCATTCTACCGACAAGTTCTGTTCACATGGATTTACAAAAAACCAAATTACTCAAAAGAAAATCCCTCCAACACTCGCAAAACAATCAGCTCCTTTTGAAAGGTGACTTTCATAAACTTCAATAAATCACGAAAAGATTGAAAAAAAAAAAACCATTCCCAAACCCAACAGCCGTAAAATCCAACAGCTACCCAAAAGAAAGAAGCCCTATTACCAACAAAACACAGCAGCCAGAATGTTAAAACCATCTCAGATCTCACCTTTAAGAACCAACAAAGCAGATTGAGGCGACACAAAATTGACCAAAAGAAAATAACTGCCAGAGGCATAAACCCTACCCATAAACCACGAGGAATCAGACAAGAGAGCCATAGCTGGGATTTTTCATTCATCAGAAGCAATCCATCACAAGAAAGAAAGTAGAAAGAGAAGAGCCTTTCCATTTGTGATTTTGTGGTAGTTCCCAAAGGTCAAATTGCCAAACTTTCTCGAATAAAACCAATGACCCACCAGTGAAAACTAGAGCAAAATGAAAAAACAATCTGTATCATAACAGTGGAGGAGAAATGGTAGACAAACTTGAACGAGTAGCGTTTGAGAAATTAGAAGGTGATGGGCCTTTTCGTTTTACCTTAATCTCTGCAAGCTCGACTACATCCCCCTCTTCTCTCGCTCACTCCCTCTCTCTACCCTCTCTCCTCGGATTTCAACTTCCAATGATCTCACTAAACTCTAATCTATTATAGATAGTGGCGTACAAGTAGATCTCAGGGACGGCTTTACGAGAGAGAGCTTAAGCAGTAAATCCGCCGGTAGACCAAAAATGGAAAGCAAACTTTTTCAAAATATCACATTTGGTCAAGAAAAAATCTCTATTTGACAGGGCTTCTTCCTATACCTATGAATTCCATTGGACCCAGAAATGATACATTGGAAGAATCCTTTGGGTGTTCCAATATCAATAGGTTGATTGTTTCGCTCCTCTATCTTCCAAAAGGAAAAAAGATCTCTGAGAGCTGTTTCTTGGATCAGAAAAAGATATTATTAAATCATTTCATGTTTAATTACTATAAAAAATTAATATCATTTTTGTCACTCAAATTACTGAAACATGTCATATTTAGTCACTCTCTGTTTGGGCTTAGGATAGGGTGAGTAACCGTTTGTTACTCACCCGTTAGTAACCAATTAGTAGCCGTTGATATGGGGCGGACTCATCGTGTGGTTGCGATTGATGCAGGATGGTCAGGGACATTTTTGTCCATTTATTTGAATTAATTATTTTCCCTCTTTATTCATTGCGAGTCTTTTGCGCGAGCTGGGATTGTGTTTTTTGAGAGAGAAAGTGCGAGCAGCAGCTTAGAAACTGGGGACCGAGCTATGGAGAATTTTTCTCTCCATAATTGTTCGATGGCGAGAACTTAGGTGGATTACCTGAATCGACGACGAGTTTATCTCTGGTTAGATATTAGTTTTTCTGATTCTTCCTATTCTGTCGTTAACTTTTAACCTGAGTGATTCGTTGAGCCTTCTGTCGATCTTTAGTTTCGTTGAGCATTCTGTCGATCTTTGGTTTCGTTGTAGGTTTTCGTTGCGATAATTGCTAGTTACATTGAGATTTTGTTTATTTGTAGTTTTTCTAGATTCTTCTTCTGTGTGAGTTACTTTGTGTTTCTATTTAGCTAATCGAGCTTGTTCATGATTTTTACTATTTGGTTTATGTTCATGTTCTTTGTGTTTTGGTGTTCTTGCAGGATTCTGGTGAAATGAGTTACAAAAATTGTGGCGAGGTTGTTCCATTCGATAGATTTGTTTCTTTATCTAGCGCTGTAGGATCTAGTTCTTCATCTAGCGTTGTTGGAACTAGTTCTTCATCTAACGATGTTGGATTTGGTCATTCATCTAACTTTGATGTATAAGGAGGTAAGATATACAAATTTGTTTGTTAATTTAAGTTTGAATGGTGTTAGATACCATATGGTACCATGGTGGTAATTACTGGTATACGCTGAGAGGTGATACCATAGTGTTGTGTTGTGATACTATTGTGCTGTGTAATTAATTTTTACCATATCATACCATGATGTTAATTACTTGTACCATGGTTGTCATCATTGGTATATGCTGAGATGTGATTCTGTTGTGGCGTGGAATTCATTTTATCATATCATACCATGGTGGTAATTATTGTAACATGGCTGTAATTATTAGTATACGTTGAGATGTCATACTGTTGTGGTGTGGAATTAATTTTGTCATATCTTAACATGGTGGTAATTACTGGTATATGCTGAGATGTGATTTTGTTGTGGTGTGAAATTCATTTTACCATATCTTACCATGGTGGTAATTACTGGTATTTTGTCATAATAGTATAGTTATGTTTTCCATAAATAATTTGTTGTTGTGATTGGTGTAAAACAGTATACCATGTTGGTTTTTGTGAATGAAATACACTTTACCTTATTATACCATGGTGGTATTATATTTGTACATATTTAATATGTTGCTTTATAATGTTTGTAGGTTTCAATGGTGTATATCCTATTGTTCGTGATTCTTGGAAGGACTTACAGTTCAAAAAGGAAGGTTGGAGAAAAGGTAGCAAGAATAACCCTAATAATGTAGGTGTTGTTGATACGAAGGTTCGTGTTCGTAATGTTACAGAACTCAGTGGTGGATGTAATGGTGCTTATATACGACTAAGGTGGTTTAAAGAGTTGAAATGGTACAAGATCTATCGTTGGTATAATGTGCACAACCATGACATGATTTATGAGTCTCTGCGTCACTATGTGAGATCCAGCAGACAGATGGCTCATGTGTACAAGATGTTGGCAAAGGTGAATGATGTTGCTGGTATTGGTGTGACTTCTTCGTATAATGCAATTAGTAGGACTAGTGGTGGTCGGAAGTTTGTTGGGTTCACAAAGAATGATTTGAAGAACCATCTGTGAACTGTGAGGACGTTATCAATGGAGTATTATGATGCGACTACATTGCTTTCATACTTTAGACATCAAGCATAGTTGGATCCTAGGTTCTTTCATGAGATGGAGGTTGATGTTGAAGATAACATTGCTAGTATTTTTTTGGGCAGATGGAAAGATGCGGATGGATTATCATTATTTTGGTGATTCAATTAGTTTTGATACTACTTACCGGACTAACAAATAGTATCGACCACTAGGTATGTTTTCTAGTTTGTTGTTTATTGTTATCTTTGTGAGTTTGTATGATTATTTTTATCATTCTGTATCATGGTATATATGAGGTGGTGTTTGCGTTGTTAGAAGCCTGTACTATATGGTACGGGTTGGTATAGATTAGTGTTTTGTTCTTAGAAGTTTATACCATATGGTACGAGGTGGTATTATTGTTATTTGTACCTTCTACCACCTGGTACGTGTTGGTAGAATTTTTTTTATTCACATTTTTTTTTAATGTTTTTTAAGCTTTGTTTGTTGGTTTCAACCATCATCACCGACTCACTGTCTTTGCGGCTGCTCTTCTATATGATGAAACAACATCAACATTTGAATGGCTTTTCGATCAGATTTTGAAATGCATGGGAGGTGTGAGACGTCTCATCAATGTTTACTGATCAGGCTGCTGCAATTACTGCTGGTATAAGGTCTGTTTTCCCAAATTGTTTTCATTGGCTGTGTACATGGCATATTGCTCAGAATGCAGTTGTTAATCTGGGAAGTTTGTGTGACTCTGCTTTCATCATGAGCTTAGTTATTTGATGTATAATGTTGATGATGAGGATGATTTTGAGTATAATTGGAAGAAGATGATTGAGAAGTGTTTTCCTGGGAAGTGACCTTTGGGACGCAGTTGGTTACAGGTTAGGTTACCAAATTCGCCATTTGACCTCCGTCGCTCCCGCTTTGGAGCGTGAAAACGCGAATTCTTAAAGATTCGGCAAAAATTCGCGAATTCAATTTGGGCAGAGCGTGACTTAATTTTTATGAAGCGCAATTTAATTGACGATCCATCACTTCCCCTGACCAAGCAGCTTGTTTAATTCTCTAAATGGCTTTCGGCACTTCTCCGGCGTTGCATGCACCCATCTATATCCTTATCGCTTGCGCTCTTTTCACTCCCTGCGGTCGGCGTCAACAAGATGTGCCAGTAAAGGCTGGACTTGCTCCATCATCAAACTGCTCCAAGTTCTTTGACTTATCGCCGACCGCTCATGTAATTTTTGATATTCTACTTATAGGATATTCTGGCTTACCATAGAATACATTAGAAGTTTTAAGATGATGACTTACATGTTGACAACTTCTTGTTTTTGCATCTTATGTACTCTAGGATGTTGCTGAACAGGTCATTAGGTGTTGTTTCTGCTGGTGTTGTCATTGTTGCAATTGGTACTGCATTCACGACATCATCCTTTATTTCCACTGGTGCACGTTGTGATTGTGGAGCAGTTGGTTGTACAGTTGGTGTAATCAGGTCCTCGAGGTAAGCATTTATGCATTCTTGTACTTCCTTGAACTTCTCTTGGCTGTTTGTGTACAGATTTGACCATGCTATCTTTGATTCCTTTTGTGACTGCATGGTTTTTGTTGTGTTGGTGGTGTTCTTCTTCTTGCGTTCTTTTTATTTCTAGTCACATTCTTCACCACGATTCTTCTTTTGCGAGGCTCTTCTGGTTGATTGGTTGTCGTGGTGGTAGTCAACTTTATTGTTATTGTTGGTGTTTGATGGTTGAGAGGGCTGAGATTGAAGGATGGAATGTCGTCTTCTCATGTCACTTTAGTGTTCTCATTAGCCTTGGTTGGCAATGTCGGAGTCTCTTCTCGAACAACATCATCTGACTCTGTTTTCTCTACTGTGTTTTTTCACAGCTTGACCTTGTTTCTCTTCTTGTGGTGTTTCCTTATGAAGATCCATTGGAGCTGCTGTTTCTCTAGCTCTTTCTTCTCCTGTTTCTTTTGCAGGTTCTAGAACTCCTTTTGGGGTGCTTCTATTGCAACTGTCACCAGTGGAACTCTTTCTTGGTTTCTTTCCCTATTCACACATTTTGGATAAGATTTTACTTCTTCTTTTCTTGCAGCTGGTTTTTCTGGAACTTCTTTGGTGGTTCCCTGGTTTGAAGTTTCTAGAACAGATTTTGACGATACATCTACTTCAACACCAGAATCATCATGCTCCTTTTATTTTGGCTTTGGTGTCGGTGCAGCAAGATCGACTGTAGTTGGTTGTTAATCATCTTCTTATTGTTAGGGCTGGAGCTGGTTTGGTTCGGTTATAACCGATTGATCGATTATCGGTTAACCTAACCCATGCCTCCCCTTACCGAACACCGACGGACAACAAACTTTGGTTAACCGCGGTTATCAACCGATCAGTTACGGTTAACATTTCGGCTAATTGACTAACCGAATAATTTAATTAATTGAAAACTGGAAAAAGGAAGATAGGGATCGGGGCGCCGTTCCACATCTCTCCTCCGCATCTCTTCATCTCTTCATCATCTCTACATCTCACCACCCAATCCCGCCGCCACTCCAACCAATCCCGCCGTCGCGGAGCCTGGGCTCGCCTGTTTGGACGAAAGGAAGGTGAACGCAGGCGCGGATGAAGGCGGTCTAGGACGGAGGAAGGCGTCGGAGGAGACGGCGTGGTTGTCTGCTGCTTGAACGGAGGAAGACGTAGAGGAAGGGTCGCGCGGAGGATCGGCTGGGGTCGGCAGGGGTCGCCGAGGATCGGCGGGGATCGTTGGGTTGTGGAGGGTGTCCGAGGTTTGGGGGTGAATGAAGGGGGAGGAGGCGGTTGCTGTATCGAGTTGGAGGAGGAGAACGAAAATGGAAGGAACAATTAGGGTTGGGGGTAATTATTTATGACATAAAAAGACGTCATTTTGGGTAAATCGGTTATTTTTCGGTTAGCCGGTTAACCGCGGTTAATCATCTTCGGTTACTCGGTTAACCGGAAATCATCTCCCTTCTACCGAACACCGATCGAGGGTGCGCTTTTTCGTTTGTCGGTTAATCGATTAACCGGTGGTTATCGCTTAGCCGGCCGGTTAACCGGTAACCGAATCGCCACCCCTACTTGTTGTGTTCCCTCCTTGTTCTCCTTTTGCTTCTTGTCTAGCTTTGCCTCTTTGAATATTGTCTTCACGGTTTTATCCAAAGTGGCATTGATTTCTTCATCGTTCTCTTCTTCATCATCTTCACACTCACTGTCTCTTCCTACAACCTCATTGTCCGATTTTTCTCCTTCTGTGGGCTGAACATATTCATCAGAGCTTTCTTTCTGAAGATTCTTTTTGTGTTTGAGCATCTTTTCAAGTTGGGTGTTGTACTACTCTTTGATTGCTTTCATCATTGCCTTCATCGATGCTTCAATCAATTTGATTGCATTATCAGCCTGCATGAGGGGATTTTAGTTTTGTAAGATAACATGGTGGTAATGTGTGTATGGTGTATAGTTAGTTACTATAGTGGTAATGTGTGTATGTTGTATAATTAGTTACCATGGTGGTAATACATGGTATTGACAATTATTATCACTATGTTACATTGTATTAGCATGAATTGGACAACTAGAATATATATAATTTGTACTTACTTGGTTGACTATTTTGATATTCTTCAAATCAAAGTTCAGTGATGATGACTAGTCTGGAGTTTTGGTTCTTTGTCTTTTTGGTGATTGATGGACTGGCTCATTCTCATGTTCCTCGTCAGTTGTATCATTAGCCTCATCAACAACATTGTTGGCAAGCTTTGCTAGCTGGCTCAACTCTTCTCCATTGTAGTGGCTCTTTATGTTCTCAAAGTTGCTTTGGACATTGAGATCATCATAGTAGCTTACTATTGGTGTTCGAAACTGGGTTAAGAAGGTCATTTCGTCCATCTTGTATATGAAACATACCTTTTTGTAATGGTTGGCAATGCAGATAGTTGTATTAGTTTTTTCAAAGACTACGATTTGTATATAAAATATATGAGTAATAAGGTTGAAATGGCTAAGGGAATGGAGACTTACTGTAAGGAAGTGAAGATCTGCATTGATGTAATGGTTTACTGATTTCAATCCTTCATTCATGTGTTTGAAGAAGTATTTGCACCAGTTGTAGCTGGTGAAATGTTTGAGTTCTTCAGTCTTCAAGTACTCAAGCATGTTGAGTTCAGCAGTAGGGGTTGAAGTTAGACACAGCAAGCCTCCGGTGACCAACAAAAAGAATAACTGTAACCATCTCTTAGTGGTTGTAGTTGTAAGAAGATATTTTTCTATCTGACTGAGCTTTACCCTTGGAGTTGTTCCTGACCCATCTACTTCCAGTAAGGTTTCTATTGCATAATCTACCGCGTCGTCCCAAGAAATTTTGGGAGGTTCAACTTCCCTTTTTCCCATTGGCACACCATATACTCTATGAAAGTCAATTGGTGATATTTTCATGCTGGTCTCGTCAGGTAGCTTGAACGATTCTGTCATTGGATTGTATTCGTTCATTGTGAACAATGCAAAATGTGAGTTTATCTTTGTCTGCTTGATTGATGTTAAGCCTGCTAGGCCTAATATTTCAAGTTTCTCTTTCTGCTCATTTGTAAATGTCCTTGCAATTGCAGCTACTCTGGTCGGGCTGCACCTTGTGCGAAATTTTTTTCTTTCTTTCACCATAGTGTACTGAATGTAGAAAACAAGAATA